GCTCCACAAGGAGAGCAACAGAACAAAAAAAAAATCTGGTCACAGGGGTCTTTTCTCAGACTGATACCCCACCCAAAACCATTCATGAAGATAACCTAGAACCCCTGCACAGATGTAGGCCATGGCAGCTCAGTCTCCAAGTGGGTCCTGTAGTAAGGGGAACAGAGACTGTTCTATCTCTGACAGGAACTCAGTAGCTGGCTCTTTGATTACCTTCCCCTGAGTGGGGAGCAGCCTTACCAGTCCACAGAGGAAGACAAAGACGCCAGTCCTGATGAGAACTGATAGACTATGATCACATGGAAGGGGAGGAGGAGCCCCTCTATCATTGGACTGGGGAAGCGGCATAGAAGAAGAAGAAGGAGAGAGGGTGGAATTCGGAGGGGGTGGGGGCTACAGTTGGGATACAAAGTGACTGTAACTGTAACTAATAAAAAATAAAAAGAATAATAATCTGAATGAGAAAAAATTCTTCTATTTATAGTATACTTCATCAAACAGTTTTGATTCAGGTTTGGAGTTACAAAATGATACTTCAGAAGCAGTTGTCAAAGTTATTAAATTAGAGTTCATGACTTCCACCCTTGCTGTGAACAAGAAGCCAGAAGATCTAAAACCATGCCTGTAACTAATAAGTAAAATGAATATAGAGAATGCCCTGGGGGAATTAGCCAAAACAATAGGCACTGATTAATGCCAAGAAAGTAGACGTGTATTTAATGACAATAAACATTAATACTTCCTTATATCTTCCTTACATCAGCTTTGTAATAATCCACAATGTTAGAGCATTATATGTCATGTAACAAAATAAATGAGATTATTCTTATTTATACAAAACACACATGTGCATGCACAAGCATGCAGGCACACACACATACAGACGTATATACGTTTTAAACACATATTTCTATTCACATTTAATTTCTTCCCATTTAGGGAAAACCATTAGTTAATTCATTCAGAAGTCAAAAGCAGTCTGTTCATTTAGTTGTAGTCATGTGTGAACAAAGCTCAAAGGTGTCCATATTACCAATTATCCAATAGATTTCTAGTGATACATGAATATTATCTATCTACCTGTTCAATACATTGTTACCAATTGCATATGGTGATTTAGAGTTGGCGTGGTTAACAAATGTGGTTTTGACATTATAGTTGTGTTAATATAAATTTAAAAGTTACAGTCACACTTGGTGAGGTGGGACATACTCTCAGCCAGGAATATTAATTGTATACTTGCAGGTTTCTCCCCTACTATCTTTTCCCAGTGGTATTTAACTATGGCTTTACCATGGATTACTCTAGAGATATTGAAACACATCAACATTTTAGCATCACTTTGATTACTGTAGCGTTAATCTATTGTTAAATAATTGCTACAGCTTATGTGCAGATTCAAAAGCATTCTATTCTTTTAGTAAAGGTAAAATCTTTTAAACTAGAGTTTATTCAAGGATTTGCACTAACGGGTAAAATAGTCTCAGAGGAGGTATCCATCCCAATCAGTGATTCTCAGAAAGTGTTCAATGAGACAACAGAGCCACAGGATGCAAGTAAAAGTTTTGTTATCAAATTAGCCTGAGAAATTCAGGTGTAAACCGCATCAAACACATTTATTTATTGCAGGATTTCTCAGAGAGTTTAAATGCTAATGTTTGGAGAATTTTTAAGCAGCATATAAGGTGTACTGATGTTGCTTTCTCTCTGAAACTTATTTGGTCACAAATTACTATGGGACATTCTTCTAGAGAAGTGTTTTGCCAAGGATAGCTTATAAACAAAGATATTTACAATGTGGCTTGTGAAGTAAAGAAATTCTCTTGTCACCAACTTAAGTTTCATGTTACTAAGGGAGCTGATGAGTTTCCTCATTATGCTTGTGCTAGTTTGTTTTCAATGGATTTCCTCACTCGACTTTCTTTAATATTCAGATTCTGGGTTTTAAATTAGGTCTGTGGAGTAATGTTGAACCCAGTCTAATAGCCTCTATCATTTTCAAGAATCATGAGGGAGATGAAATTTTGCCCTCCTTGCAAGCTAACGAGGCAGCCTGTCACAATGTCATGCCTGTAGATAGAAGACAAGGCTCCTCTGAGTTAGAGATAGAGAATGTACAAGTGATGGCACAGCAGGCATTATTAATTTCATGTTCACATCAGTTCCTTCTGACCCAAATCCCTGAAGCAACCATGCAGAGAGACCAAATAAATGCTGTGCTCACAGGGCACTACAGCACAGTTGAGACCCTGATCCTAAAGAGCACTCCATTTTTGATACAGTGTTGACAGATATGGTTAATATATGCTCCTCCTAAAGGCATATATTAAGCTGTGTTAAAACAAATCTACCCTCTTCCCAGTTAAACAGAACTATTTCTATCTTCTAAGGCTACTTTTCACATTAATAACCTTGAACAAAGTCTTGAACAAAACCAAAACTATTATCAATACTCTTAAAGATGTTTAAATGATGGAAAGAACCATGTGGTGTTATGATCCAACCTGGTTCTGCAGCTATATTACACCTCCAATGTCCAAGAAAATTAAAATGTAAATCCTATAATATATATTAAAAAATATCTTCAATATGTTAAAATGTTCTAGGCCTGAAGAATGGAACTCCGCTTAACAAATAAGTAAACACACAATAAACAAAGTTCATATTTTTTATTTGAGTATTTTAATAGCTGTTGTATTTTAATAGTTTTTTATAATATTCACCTCTCATTTCTCCTTCCAATTTATAGAAATACTCCCAATATATCCACCTCCCAATTTATCTCTTTTTCTTTATTTTAAATGTATATGTATATTACTGTAAACAATTGATATTATTCATATGTACATGGGTTGGAGTTATATACTGATTCATGATCTACCTGAAAGAGGCCTGATATATCCAATTTATCCAGCAACATTTATTGACATTACTGTTTACAGCTTCTTTTTTTTTTTTTTAGATTAAACTTAATTTTGTTTTTTTTTCTTTTTTTAATTTTATTTTTCTTTTTAGTTACATTTTGTTAACTCTGTGTCCCAGCTGTATCCCGCTCCCTCATTCCCTCCCCAACCCCACATTCCCTCCCTGGTCTCTTCCCTGCCACTTTCCATGTCCACTGATAGGGGAGGACCTCCTCCCCTTTCATTTGACCCTGTTTTATCAGGTATCTTCAGGGCTGGCTGCAAAGTCCTCCTCTGTGGCCTAACAGGACTGCTCCTCCCCTGGGGGGGGGGGAGGTCAAAGAGCCTGCCCTTGAGATCCTTTTAGAAATAGTCCTTGTTCCTCTTACTTTGGAAAACTACTTGGTTACTAAGCTACCATTGGCCACATCCAAGCAGAAGTTCTAAGTTATATCCATAGATGGTCCTTGGTTGAGTGTCAGTCTCAGAAAAGACCCTGTGCCCGGATATATTTGGTCCTTGTAGAGCTCCTATCCTTTCCATATCATACTAACTCCCCTTCTTTCATATGATTCCCTGCACTCTGCTGAGGGTTTGGTTATGAGTCTTAGTGTCTGCTTTGAAACACTGCTAGTTAGAGTCTTTCAGATGCCTTTTGCGGTAGACTCCTGTCATACACTCAATGCACATCCCATTTGTCTTTCTAAATGAGGATTGATCATCTTCACCCATGTCCACTTTCTTGATTATCTTCTTTAGGTGTGTAGATTTCATTATGTTTGCTCAAGTACACAACAAGGACATTTGTTCAACCATGTTTGTAGCATCTTTATTTGTAATAGCCAGAACTTGGAAACAACCCAGATGTCCATCAATGGAGGAATGGATACAGAAATTGTGGTATTTTTACACAATGGAATACTACTCAGCAATCAAAAAGGAGGAAATCATGAAATTTGTAGGCAAATGGTGGGATCTAGAAAAGATCATTCTGAGTGAAGTATCCCAGAAGGAGAAAGACAAACATGGTATATATTCGCTTATATAGACCTACAAGATATGTTTACAGCTTCTGATACATACTTTCTCATCTTCTTTTAAAAATTGATAAATTGTATTTTTTGGACTTATATCTGGGTCATCTAGTATATTTCACTGATTAGTATTTCTGGTTTTGTTCTGTTTTTTTTTTTTTTCTTTGGTTTTGACAATTACATGCTGTTTTATGACTATTGGTCCACTATATATGTAATCATCATCATTCTTTTCTTTATAAATGAGGGTTGTTTTGTTTATAAAGTATTCTTGTGTTTCCATATAAATTTTAAGATAGGCTTTATAATTTCTTAGAGAATATACATGGATTTGGCCACAATTAAATTTAACTATTGATTGCTTTTTCTTGAATTGTCATTTTATTATTTTTATTCTTCTAAACCATAAGCATTGGAGGCCATTTTATCTTCTACTGTTATCCTTGATTTCTTTCTTCTATATTTAAAAATTTTATTCTGGAACTTATTTATTTCCTTGGGAACCCTAACACAAACCCTAACACAAACTCTCTCTCTGTGTGTATATGTGTGTATGGGGAGGTTAGGTTCTTATTACTAGAAATGGCTATTATCACATAAATTCTTCACTAGTAATCGTAGAAACATACCAGAAGATTAAGTTAAGCTCTTCTTGGATAACCAGATAAACATAAATCATGCTCTCATTCTTTTTCGTCTGATGGTACGTAAGCTATTATTTAGCTTAAACAATGAAACTTTTCTTACAAGCTTTGTATTCTTTAATTCCATAATAATGACAATAATATTAATAAGCAGCATTACTATTATTATTATGAAACTCATCTTTTAATTATTTCCAGTTTGGTTCCCTATATTCAAATTCAACATTTGGGCACTAAACAAGATCTTACTTTCTTTCTTAAATACATTGAAATACATTGCCTATGATTTCAAGAATGTGAATTTAACTCCAGATTCAAGGCTGGAATCATGGCTATATATTTCATAGCCACACTGACAAACAACTGTGAGACTCATTTAACAGGACGTGAAGAAAGATGGCCATTAAAAGATTATCAGATTCCCCTGGCGATGGGCAAATAGAGCCCCTGTTGGTGGTATTGTTCTTATATCAGTCAGGGGCAGAGCAGATGGCAGTGCTTTGTTTATCCTAGCTTGATGCCTGGCTTTGTGACCAAAGCTATCTTATGCCTAGGATTCATAAAAATCAAGCCAAATCAAATCCAAACAGCATAATGCAGAAAGAGGAAGACAGATGAGACCCCTGGACCTCCACTCAAGGCACAGGCAGGCCATGGACACCCATTTGTTGCCATGCCATGCAGCATAGATGGAAGATGTCACTGAGTGGGCCCACCAGCCATGTGCCCAGCCCACAGCAGGAGCCTGTCATCTGCTCTTAGGTGGTAGGGGAGGAGAGTGCTCTCTGTCCACTCACCCTTCACCACCTGCAGCAAGGAGAGAACTGTTCCCAGGGTCATGAGAGCAGCTGAACTGGTCCTGCCTTTTGTCTCCTGCAACAATCAGGAGAGCAGGCCCTGCACCTCACCTGGGCAGCACAGTAGAGCTGGCCCTGACTGAGGAGAGTGGGTAAGCCAGTCTTGGGAAAAGGGTCCTGGAGACTCGGCTCCTCTGCTCCTCTGCTCCTCTATGATATTGCTTGGACTGGGATGAAATGGTTTTTTCTCTCCTCACCCCTCACTATCTGACGAAGTCAGGAGAGCTCACCCCAGGGACATAAGGACAGGTAAGCTGGCCCTGCTCCTTGGAGGCTGCAGCACTTGGAAGAGCAGGCCCTGCACCTCATCTGGACAGCATAGTAGAGGTAACCCTGGTGGAGGGATCATAGTTGAGCTGGCCCCACCACTCATCTCGTGTGAGATAACATAAGTGTGAGTGTGATATCCCCCACTTCCCCTCCTCACCATAGCATCAGCCGGGAGAGCTGGCCTTGGGATCATGAGAATGGGAGAGCTAGCTCTGTCCCTGCACTGTTTGGTGTAGGTTGGGCTCTGCACCTCGCCTGGGTAACACAGTGGAGCAGGCTCTGGTGGTGAATGCACTGGTAAGCCAGGCCCTAGGATGTGAGAGCAGGAGAGCTGGCTCAGCCCCTCACAGCCTTCAACACTTGAGAGAGTGGGATTCCGCACCTTGACTGGGCAGCACATTGGAACTGGCTCTGCAGGCATGGATGCAGGTGAGCTGATTCCGAGGGCATGAGAGTGGGAGAGTGGACCCTGCCTACTTCATTTGGTGGCTTGGCTGACCTAGCCCGAGCAACACTGGAGAGCTTGCCCTGGTGGTGGAGATATGGGAGAGCTGGCATACTGACTAGCAAGGCTGCCAGCCAGGCCCAGATCCATGGTTCTGACTTGGCCCAACACAAAATCTGTATCATCTGTGAATGGTTAGGACATAGGAAGGAACCAGTCTTGCTGATGCAGAGCTGCAGAATCTTCATGACACACAATAACAAGATATAACAGCAATGAGAGCAATCACAAGATGACTCAGAGGAGGCCTAGTCAGGATAGAACTTTGATGGTGTAAAAGAAGCGAAAAATCTTGTACCAGACTGATGACTTGCAAATCAACATTTCCAAGTGAAAATATATGGAAAGAGAGGTATACTGTGGGACACAATATGACAGGCTAAAGCTTCCGCAATGAGATTTTTAAATATACCTTGGTTTTTGGTGTGTGTGTGTGTGTGTGTGTGTGTGTGTGTGTGTGTGTATACGTGTGCATGTGTCTGTTTGTGTGTATTTTACATTAGGGGTAGGCTGCAAGGGCGATGGGCTGATATGAGACTGAAAGATGAGTGGGACTGGGGTGCATGATATGAATCTCACAAGAAATCAATAAAAAGTTTTCAAAAAGATTATCAGAAATACCTGTGAACATCATCCTGAAAAAATTTAATTATACATGTAAAGAATCTAGAGTTATTTTTTACCTAATTAATTTTATTATTTTTTTGTAAACACTTCTATTTTTTATTTTATTTTATGTGTATGAGTGTTTTGTCTACATGTAGGTACCTATACCACATGTGTGGTTGAAGCCTGCAAAATTCAGGAGAGAGTACTGGGTCCTCTGGAACTGGAGTTACAGGCTTTTGAAAGCCACTTTGTAGATGCTGGAAACCAAAATGGGTCCTCGAAAGGAGCAGCAGGTGCTCTTAACCACTGACCCTCTCCAACCAGCCCTATAAATAACTTCTAAAATGTTCCTGATAGGCTATGGTAAGATGGAAGGGGAAGAGAACAACCCCAATCAGTGGACTGGGGGAGGAGCATGGGAGAAGAAGAAGGAAGGGTGGGATTGGGAGAGGGCTACAGCTGGAATACAATGTGAATAAGTTGTAATTAATAAAAAAAAAAAATTAATTAAAAATGTGTTCACACTTAGTTCTCTAGTTCACGCTTTTATAGATAAGGTTACTGAAGCTCAGAAAAGATAAATGATAGTCACTTGTGCCAAGTACTTCATGCACAGTACTGCATTTAATCTCTATAACATTCTCGTTAGAAAAGGAATTATCTCAATTTGCAGATGAAAGATAGAAACTAAATAACCAGTAAAATCTTTAACATAGCTCATGGTTGCAAATACTGAGATTTGAACAATGAATTCTCTTCTTTTTTCCAGGGCCGGCCATAATAATCCATTCCAGCAGAGAAGAATAGAAATATGAACTATACTGACAGGGCATGTTGCTTGACCATCATGTAAATGGCTGCATCTGAGAAATGGGGTTAGGTCCACCTAAAAAGCTCTTAACTGTGTGTGTGCCATGTTTCTTGGCCTGTAAAATAAATAAATAAATAAATAAATAAATAAATAAATAAATAAATAAATAAATAAATAAA